GTCGGGGGAGAGGCCCCTGCTGCCGGTGGGCGAGCTGGCGAGGCGGGCGCGGGACGGGGAGGGTCGCCAGCGCGCCCAGCAGCGGGTGCATGTGCATGGTGCTCAGCTGTGTGCATGCATGCTGCAGAGCCCTGTGCATGCGCGCACTTGCACCATCATGCACATGCATGCACGTGCAACCTTGCACTGTCATGTGCATGTGCCCTTGCACTGCTGCATGACACATGCCTGCATACTTGCCCTTGCACTGACGCATGCATGCACCCTTGCAGATATGCATGCATGCACACGTGCACACCATAACATGCATGCATGCACCCTTGCACCAACACGCGCATGCACACACCCTAACACGTCATGTGGATTAATGCATCCTCTCAATGTTATGCACATGCACGCACCCTTGCCCGTCACACACATGCACCACGTGGTGCAGGGCAGGCGCAGAGCTGCAGGATGGCGTGTGGGTAGCGCGGGTGCTGGGCAAGTGTGCACAGCTCACAGTGGCCTTCCCACCTTGCAGCACGGCGTGGCCGAGCCCCTGCTCCCCGGCAAGGTCCCCAAGGACGCCGAGGCCTCGCTGGTGCTCGTGGGTGAGTGCTGGGCCTGGGGTGGGTGCCTGGGGCAGCGCTTCGCCTTGTGCCCCGCTGCTGCTTGCTCACCCACCGCCTCTCTTGCCTTTTCCACTCGCTTTTTCCCCCAGCCTCGCTGTCCCCTCCCAGCCCTCCGTGCTGCTGGCTCTGCTCCTGGTCCCCTCCAGGGTCCTGTTCCCATGTGTCTTCCTGTCTGTCCACCCTGTGTCCCCATGCTCCTGTGTCCCCATGCCCTGGGCGAGTGTCTCCATGACTCCCTGTCCCCACGCGCCTGCATGGCTCCACCTGCTCATGTCCTTGTGCTCCTTGGTCCCCACGTCCCTCCTGTCTGCTCCCACTTTCCCCACGTCCCCAAGACCCTGCATCCCTGTGTCCTGGTGTCCTTGTGTCTCCGTGGGCATCCACATCCCTCTGGCCTCACCCTCCCTGTGTCCTCGTGTGCCTGTGACCTGTGCCGGGCACCCTGCTGACCCCGTCCTGTCCCACACGGCCCCATGGTCCCACCAGGCTCCGTGCCCGCCCTGGAGCAGCCGGCGCTGGCCTTCATGCGCCTGAAGGAGGCGGCGGTGCTGGACGCGGTGCTGGCGGTGCTGCTGGCC